AGTTATTCATTATTATAATAGAATGTGAAATCTACAGGAAGTGTCAAAAGTTATAATATAGATAGGTAGTAGCTACCTCTGGATTAGAAAACATCATACTAATCCATGGGTAGTAATATAAAATTATGATTTAAAAATTTGTGAAAAGGCAAATGGTGTGAACAATATTTTTCTCAAAATGGCAAAAATATACAATTAATTATCTCCTTGGGAAAAAAGTTTCAATGTTTAAGGTGTGTGCCCTACTCTAAACACATGTTAATTGTTCAAAAATGTTAAAATGATTCAAGTAAATGTAAACTTTATAATTTCACTATTTTGTACACAAAATATTTCAATACAATTATTCACATTAGCGAAATTTTAAATAATTAATTAGGGTTGGTTACAGCAACAGATATACAACCTCACTTATTTCTTAGAATCAATGAAATTGAGCAAAACAGCAACTGGTAATAAAAGAATAAAGAACAAAAACATAAAGAGCAAGACCTCAATCAAAGAGTCACTCTAAATTAACTTCTATGACTAAATTGAAATTTTACCTTTGTCATCCAGCTCCTGATATTATTATAAACTTGTTACGGCCGTTTCAGCATCACTGTGCCATCGTCGGACTGTTCAGCCAAAAGGCATCGTTAAAACACAAAAACATATACACGAAACACACACATATTTGTCAAAACGGGGTTTTGAAAACAGGCCTGTTGAGGATAGTACATTCCCGTGTAGCCAAGGAATTAAAGAAAAATGGTATAGAGTTAACTTTTAGGACAAACAATAAGACTTTAAACAAACTTAATGTTACAAGAAAGGCTATAGATAAGGGTGACAGGTCAGGAGTCTACAAAATTAAATGTGCTAGTTGTCCTAGTGTTTATGTAGGAAAAACGGGGCGTACATTAAAAACAAGATATAAAGAGCATCATCCGAACCCAAAAAATGACAAACAAAAATCAACTTTTGCTCAACACCTGATAGATGAAAATCACGACTTAAATAACCTTGACACTGGCTTGGAAATCCTTCACACCTGTACAAAAGGCAGCAAATTAGATACCCTGGAAGAATTTGAAATCTACAAAGCCCACATAAAAAATGACAATAGTGAACTAATTTTAAACGATAAATTACAATTTAAATCACACTTCATCTTCAATAGTATTTTAAAACAGTGGAGAGAACCAAGACCAAAGGGGCAAAGTACAGCTGATAACACCACAACCGACATGACAATGCAAGGATGACTCCAGTCAGCTACTTGCTCAAGTTCGGGAATGTACTATCCTCAACAGGCCTGTTTTCAAAACCCCGTTTTGAAAAATATGTGTGTGTTTCGTGTATATGTTTTTGTGTTTTAACGATGCCTTTAGACTGAACATTCCGACGATGGCACAGTGATGCTGAAACGGCCGTAACAAGTTTATAATAATATCAGGAGCTGGATGACAAAGGTAAAATTTCAATTTAGTTATAGAACGAGCTCAGGGGCTAGAAAATATGGATTATAATAACTTCTATGACTGATAATAGAAAGATGAAAAATATTATGTTGTAAAAAACTATAAAAGTAATCTACAATATTTAAATATAGATCCGCTCTCATACTGCTTTAGTAATCTCTTATGTATACTGTATAGGTGGGTGCCTTCTATGACCACATAGATGTCAACCACACACTGTATTGTGAGTTTTTCAGACCTATGGTAGCAAGCTAAATTCCTCTCTCGACGCCAACCAGTACAACACAAGTGTACTCTAGCATTGTTAAATTATTTCTACGATATGTTCTGTTTTAGGCGTGCTTAAATTACCAAAGTATCTGGTTGGGAACATAAGAGGGTAAGCAAGTGGATCTAATGACGGATCTAGAACGGATACGCGTTATTAGTAAAAAAACCCCCGCGCCAGCAAACCTGCCGACTAAGCGAATTTCCATTTGCCTGAATTGATTTTCAATTAAATGTATTTAATTAACATTAGGTTTAAAGAGTACCTAGGCTTGCTGCTACAGGGAGGGTACAAAAGTGTGTTTTTTAGTAAAATATTAATTACTTAGTATAAAATTAATAAATTTACCAAGTTTGATCAAAGTATATCCACAAACAAGCAAACTATATTACAATATTCTCTTTAAGAATAACATGGGAATTTTAAAATATAATGGGGTTGTCATATAAGTATAAAATGTTTATTGCAGTTATGCTCATAAGCTTTCTGTTAGCAATGGGGAAGGACACAGTTTGATAAAATTTGCATCTCTTTATTTAAGGTATATGTTTTCACATCTACCATTGCCATAATGTTCCACCAATAAAAATAAATTATTAAAAATTCACAAAATATCACAAATTATTAATGAAATTAAAAACATAAACAAACTTTAATCAATCCTTCTTTGACAGTTCTCATTGCGTATTACAGTTTTTTGTTTCTGCTTAGTTCAAACTATATTAGCTTTTTTCATAAATGCAAAAAAATAGTGCTGCACCCTGTTGGTAAATCTTATAATTTTTTAATGCTTTTGCATATCCATAGAACAAACCTTTTTATTTGAAACAGCTGACTAAATTCTTTTATTTCCTTTAAATATGAACTAGAGGTCGCCCAGTGGTTGAAAACTCAACCAAAAATATGTAGGCCTACAGTTGGATTTTTTTATCTAGCAGTGGTCGAGGTATGTTGGAATATCTTTGAGGATGAACCTTTTTGGCTGTATTGAGTGTGATCATGTGTTCAATGTTCACATGTCAATTTTTGAGGTCAAATAAAAACAAATAAACTGACATTTTGTCAATTAGGGACAATGTTGTATTGCTTACGAAAGAATGTTCATTTAAGATCAAATAAATTAATTTAGTCTTATGTCATTGTCTGATTTATTAGAAAAAATCAGTATTTTGGCTACTGCATTTTATAAACCAAACTCAAATCTTGCTTCCTTGGCCTATCGTATGATGTTTTCCTGTTCGGTACCTGGTAAACTTATCAGATTGTTTAAGTAAATTATTTACAATAAAATTTAGCTGTTAATTAATTATAATTAATTTAAATGGGTCAAAACTCAAAACGTTGGTATGTAAATGTTTATCTTGTCATTTCGAGAGTATATAATTCTGACCCCTTACTTGAAAACCTTAAAAGGTGGGTCTGGGTCTTAAGATATTTCCAAACAAAACGTAAATCATCATTATGTCCCAACAGTTTATCGTGTGTATCCCAGTCACAGGAACTACATATTATTCTATTAATATAATGATCAACATTAATTTTGCAACAAGGTTCAATATTTTAGTATTTGTTCACACAAAATTAATTGTTTTTAAAGCAACCATCACTTAATTTGAAGACAATAATTAAATACGGTAACAATTTATTCATTAGTTGATTTGGAATTAGGACTCACGTCTCTATTTCATAGTACAGTAAATGTCCCTCTAATGACCAAGTGATATTATTAAAGTAGAGTAAGTATATTTAACTATTGTCAATTAAAAGAATATATTATGCCAGTTTCAGTTTGTTTGTTTTGATTTAGCCTCAAAATTTGACAGGTATGTACACATAATAATCGCACTAAAAAAGTTTATCTTTTAAGATATTCCACCACAGCTTAACCGCTTTTAGCTCAAAAAATCCTTTTGACATGTTGAATAAGATGACAAAGTTTGTTCATATGGTTGCAAGACAATTTTATACAGGGGTAAAAAGGGTGAGTTTCTACTGAGCCTGTTAACTTCGCCAGAAGGTTCTACACACCAAAAGGAACAACACAGTTCCCATAAACCCATGTCCCCGACTTTCAACTGTTTGGCCGTAATAGGGGGTTTTGTGATTTTCTTGTTTTATTAGACTTTGCCCCAACAAAAACAAAACCAATCACTTTAGAGAGTTATAATTAAAATCAATAAAAGGAAATTTTCTATAAATCAATGGGTTCATGGTTCTTGCAACAATTATACCATTACATAGTCCGGTTCATACAACAAAAATAATTAACTACGCTAATTTATATGACCCTACTTTGATACATAAACCTACATCTTTGGAATGAATAAATGCATAAAAAACTTGGCAATTTAATAATATTTCAAATGATATGCTATTCAATACTATCTATATGTAAAAGAGGAACCAATGAGAAATTACTAATAAACTGCAATAAAATACGGTCTACAGATTTTGCTTTGACAGCGTTGAAGCGTGTACTATAATTCATAGCAACAGTACTGGACTCATAAGGATCGTTAACGCTCAAATATAATCAATCTATAGACGCGTGCGTCATTCTGAGCTGAATAATAATAAACTTAAATTAATTACTGAGCCAAACCACATCCATATCACAGCCATTTCGATGATCTAATATTTATAATAGGTACATCTAATTTAATATAATAAAGCTAAGAACAAGTAAAACTTCCACTTGCACCTTAAGGGTACAAGTGTGCTGAAAAGTATAATTTACATACTAAGCTGATATAGTTAATAGTTCCCTAAACCCCAAATACCCCCCCTTCTAAAAAAATTATAACATATTTTTAAACTAGGTGGCGTTTGCATAGGCATCCACAAAATTGAGCGGAGTCATCAGGGTTCCATATAGTGTATTGTTATTGAGCTTCATAATTATTTTTACCAACAATTTTAAGTGAAGAGAACGTTTGTGTAAAGATAAATATTGATGTAATTAGATTAGATACACGTTTTGTAATGAAGGGGAGTAACAACACAGATATGTTATTTTAGCCATTTTCGGAGACCTGCATTTACATTTTAATTTTATACCCTCAGGGTTGGTCATAAACTTATTCTAAAACAGGGCGGTAGAGTTCTAGCTAGTTATAACCTAGAAATTAATCCTTTACAGTTTCGGATTCCACCATTTTGGCTACTAATAGACAATAGACAATTCCTTTATTACAATTTCATCAAGAAATGTTACAGCGTCAAATTTAAATAAATAACATTGGTATAATAGATACAAAGTGAAATGGAAAAGCTTCTTCAGTGTTGTGTGTGGTCTTGCCATGCAAAGAACTCCTTTAAGGTGTAGAAAGCTTTGTCTAGCAGCCATCTCCATAGCTTCCTCTTCATCAGCACAGGGCCTCCAAATTTCAAGTGCATAACTGCATAAGAGGGCTTAATGTGATGGTGAGTATATAAGTGAAACCACAAAATATTTTATCGTTACAAAAGTTATATTGACATTCGCATTTGCGTTTATTCAAGCGTTTAAACCATAACCCATGTGTTACACGTTAATAATTGTATAATCAATCCAATCGGAAGGTGATCGAAGACGAAGATTAAGCCGTCCCGTTTTGGCTAACATTGTGCTTCCTAGTCGTCCTTGTTGATCAAGACAATATCGAACTATTTGCTATGTAGCAGCATTTAAAACACATAATGAAATCCACAATTATTCAAGGAAACCAGCGTATGGATGATATGTAAATTTTGTTAACGTCTATAATTCATCACTTTTTATATTATAGCTAATTAAAAATTCTGTTTTTCTCAAGTAATCACATAAAAAATATCAACTGAGACAATATTATTTCCAAAGCTGTATGTATTACCATGTAAACACATAAACTTTGTTAGCATTAAAACACGTGGTTCTGTTCTTAAAAACTTTACAAGACTCATATACTAACCAGAGGTCTTGTGCTGCCCCGCACCGTTGAAATAAATATCATATCCGAGAAATAATTAAATTTATGATTTATGATTGAGTAATACATTATCTTGAACATAACTAAATCAAACGATCAATAGCTCAAATTAAAGACTATAATATACTGATTATTTTGAGTCTAAAACATATAAAAAACATAAACAATATTGCTATAAATTGAAGCTATTGATTTTTAATCATAGAAAACCCTTATAAAATATAATTTTCATGTTGATATTTCACCTTTCGTTTGCTTGAAACTCGTGCAATTTGAATAACTAATAGCTTAAACGAAAGCCAGTATTTCACTGAAGGTTCTTAGACCAAAATATATAGGATTGTACATGATTATAACTGGTGAAATATATCTTAAATCAGAACATCTTACATCTTAAAGTAAAAATTTGAAAATAAATCAAATTTATGTTTTTTTGGTTGAGTAATACAGGAGATAAATATATGCTAATACTTGACGTGAAATCTTTGCGTGCATACCTTCAATTTGAGACCTCAATCATGAAAATCGGTTGGGTAGAAGAGCAAAACGAACTCTGAAAAGAAAAACCAAATTTAAATCCCATAAGAAATACATGGGAAGCAAGTTTTGTTTACGTATAAGCCGAGTGGGACTGTAGATAAACATATTCCGATGCTTGCATGGGAAATCTGTGCGTGCATACCTTCAATTTGAGACCTCAATCATGAAAATCGGTCGGGTAGAAAAGCAAAACGAACCCGTAAAAGAAAAACCAAATTTAAACCTTAAGAATTTACCTTAAGAAATACATGGGGAGCAAATTTTGTTTACGTATAAGCCGAGTGGGACTGTAGATAAATATATGCCGATGCTTGATGGGGAATCTGTGAGTGCATACCTTCAATTTGAGACCTTAATCATGAAAATGGGTCGGGTAGAAGAGCCAAACAAACTCGGAAAAGAAAACCCAAATTTTTTAATCATATACTAATTCACAAACCTATTCATTGCTAATATAGGGGTTACTAAAATATTACATAAGGTACCCCAAATAAGCCTAGAACAAGCCTTCAAACACAACTTCAACTGTTAAAGCTAGTTGGATGGACTCAAAGCAAACATGTTAGTTTTATTATTCAAAATAGAACTGTCAATAAACGTCCAAACAAGGGGTTAAAGCTATTAGTATACAATTCAGGCTAGTGTCGTCATTTGATTATATTATTTATGATACATACCGTTTCTGTTCTAATATCCGTGGAATAATGCTATCAGCTATTTCTTGATTTGATTCATTAAAAATTCACCAGCTGATCTTATGCCTTTGTTTATGTGTCAAATACTGCTTTCATAAGGATTACATTGAAACTTTGAGGGCCCGTGGGGCGGATTCCTAAGAGATTTGTTTAACGCCATATAGATGTTGGTACTCACCGATATGGTCTTATCTTATCTTATCTAACAGGGGCAGGTCGAGACCTTTAAGCACTTCATCCGAAATCAAATTATTGCGCACCCCAGACAATTGCTTTCTTGTTGACCTAACAAATTAAGGCGCCCAATGAATACCTGTAGCTTCCCAATTAGTTCATCCTCAGGAAGGTATCTACCTCTAGCCATATTTCCAAGAGTTATCAATCTAGCGTCAGAGAGCTCGTTACAATCAAAGAGTAAGTGATCAGCTGTCTCTTCTGACCTATCACAGTACCTACAGATCGGTTCACCATCATATAAGCCCATCCATTGTATATGTTTCCTTAATCTTCCATGACCAGTTATCAGTTCAACAATTAATTTAATTCTTCGTCTGTCTAGTCTCAAGAGGTCACAGGCGACCTTTTTAGAAGGCCTAAACAGAGTAAGCTTGCTGACCCTAAGAAGGGGAACATCGACCCAGCGTTTGCGATGCTTTTCCTTGGCCCATGACGCAATCGCAGAACATGCACTGTTTCGTGAGATGCCACAGAAGGGTTGTGGGCCTATCATTGATGTCGCAGAGGCAGTATTTGCCAATCTGTCTGCAGCTTCATTACCTTTAATAATAATAATAATAATAATAATAATAAATCTTTATTTCTCCACAAGTAATACAATAAAATTACAAAGATCTATAAAACAAATTATTTTACAATGTAATAAAAACTTATTGTTAATTAATTAAATAAAAACAGTTTGCTTTAACTTGCGAAGAAATATACACACCCAAAGAAGATTAAAAACTTCTGTGTGTGGGCGGGAGTCTCAACTAATACTTAACAATAACAAAAAATTCTCTGAAAAGGGTAACAAAATGAATTTTAAATTAAATTTACCTTTAGTCCAATAACTTTTGTGGAAAAGACAACAAAGAAAACAAAATTCACCAATATCTAGGAAGTAAAACGAAAAGTATGTAACTATAATAATGAGAACATTTTAAGAAATTGAAGGAAACAATGAAAACCCAGACTCTGAAATACAGATACTTACAAAGATAAAGCAAATACATTGAGCTAGACATTACTTACTAATATTATTAAGAATACAACTGTCCTATTTCATCATATGACTTGGTTAATAGCCACTTTTTCAAAGATTTCTTAAAAACACTAAATGACCTACTCTGCTTTACAGAAACAGGAATGACATTAAAAATTTTAATTGATAAATAAATAAAACACTTCTTAAACAGGGTACAGTTTGGTTTGGGTAAGCGTAGAATGTTTTGTGCAGTTTGTCTAGTTGAATAATTGTGAATGTTATCAACTGTTGGTCCTGCATTACCACTTAATTTGAAAAATATAGTCAATACTTTAAAAATATATAAATATCTGAAGGGAAGGATATTATGACTTACAAATAAAGGTAGAGAATGAGAATAAAAATTTACATTACATATTAATCTGACAAATTTCTTCTGTAAAGTAATTAAAGATTTTAAATTCGACACATAGGCACCTCCATACAAAGAAATTCCATATTCAAGCTTAGAATTGATTAAAGAGTGGTAAACCTGTTTTAAGATGGGAAGAGGACAGCAATATTTGAGGTGGAAAAAAGATCTAAGTGAGTAACGTAATGAATTCTTTAAATTATTTACATGCATCTTCCATGATAGATTTTCATCCAAAAGTACACCTAGATATTTGGTAACATTACATTGTTTTATAGAATCACATAAGCAACTAGTTTTATTACAATCTGTTTTATGGAAAATTAAAGGTGCATTAAAAACATTTGACTGGGATAAAGAAAAATTGATAAAGATTGTTTTAGAAACATTTAGACAAAGTTTGTTGCAACTGAACCAAAGTGATATTTTATGTAGATCATCCTGCATTATGTGATGAAGCTCATCTAAAGTGCTTGCACAGTATGACAATGCTGTATCATCAGCAAACGCTGTTAGGCGTCCATTCAAAAGACCACTGCACAAGTCGTTGACAAAAATTAAAAATAAAATAGGACCAAGGACTGATCCTTGGGGAACACCGAAGTTAATACTTTGGATACTACTTTTGCTCTTCTTAATTTTAACCAGCTGCCTCCTCCCAGAAAGATATGACCCAAACCATGAAAGTGGTACACCTCTTATCCCTGCTGATTCTAGTTTGTTCAAGAGCAAAACATGATCGATAGTATCAAATGCCTTACTAATATCTAAGAACAAACCAGCTGTTTTATTATGAGTTGTGCTATTTAAGTTTCCGTAAATATTTGTCAAAAAGTGTTGAAGTGCTAACTCTGTACTAAGGCCTTCTCTAAATCCAAACTGATTTGGTGAAAAAAAAATTATTGTTATCTAAAAATCCAGTGAGTCTATTTTTAACTAATTTTTCTAGTAATTTTGAAAGCACAGGAAGCAGTGATATTGGGCGGTAGTTCTCTTCGTTACACTTATCTCCTTTCTTAAATATGGGAACTACTGTGGCAATTTTTAAGATGTCAGGGAAACAACCGCTAGCAATACTTAAATTGAACAATTCTGTTAAAACTGGAGTGATCTCGTCACATATATTTCGAATAATAGCTGCAGAAAGGAACTCATCACCTGTACTTTTGTGAGGGGAAAGAGTACTAATTAATTTTGCAACTTCATGCTCAGTGATGGGACTAAAAAAAATAGAATTTAAGCTATTCACTGTCTTAAAAAATTGGGAATAGACTAACTGACACTGAGGAGAGGGATCTTGACATGAGGCAGCAACAGTTTCAGGAACTTGAATGAAATATTCATTAAAAATATTGGCTACATCTCTATCACTACTAATAAGAGAACCCTCTTTCTTAAGCAATATATCAGAATGCTTTGAACCTTGACCTTTTATAATACTGTTTATTACTCGCCATTGCTTCCTACTATCCTTAAAATTGTCATGAAACAATTTACTGTAATATGTAAACTTAGCAACCTTATTCCAATCTCTTATTTTGTTCTGATAACTAACAAATTTATCTCTATTTTTTTGGGATGGATTTCTTTTGTGTAACTTGTATAATTTATCTCTAACAGTAAAAGCCTTGAGCAAACCAGCATTCATCCAAGGTTTAAGGGGGGGCCACCAGTTGACCGACAAGATACTTGGTTGTCTTGCCACTAGACCGTCTTTTTTAATTAAATAGATAAATACTGAAAACCAGTACGTCGACAAGTTATTTCATCGTCAGTCCAGTTGACCGGCCTGTAAATCTAAATTATTATATACGAGAAACCAACTTGTCGTCAATCCTCCCGACCGACTTACCACTTGCTCGTCTTTTAGGTGGGGATGTGTTGAGCGGCAGTGACAGCGGCGCGCGCAGCTGTGGAGGGCACTGCAGGCGTACCAACTTCTGTATCTTGTAGCGGCGGTTTTCATTCCGACGATTTTCAGCTATCACAATGCAGCGGACTAGCGAGGTTTTTATTACGTGTAATTGTTTGTTTCTCAATCGATATTTTGTTATACACAGTACAGTGAATATAAATAGGCCTATATTAGTTTACTTCAATGGAATAAATGTTTTATTTAGCTAAATAAATAAAAATACGCCGATTGAACAAATACAATTGTTACAGACAACAGGAAGTCCTTAATATGATCAAAAAAGTGTTAATCTTTATTAAAAAATTACTGAAATTTGTAAACTTACTGCTGGCGACAAGGGTGGTGCCATGCATAGGTTTATCAATAAATAAGATAATCATGGACAACCTTATGCAGCTATAAGTCAGGAAACATTTGTAGAAACATTAAAAAGCAATACCAATTTATGAAATATGATAAAATATTTACAGGAAATGTTGATTACTGTATATACATCGTGAGTATCTCCAGCAGTTACACACTGGTGATCTTTGAGTTGACTCTTTTAAACTCATTAAATATTACTTTTTTTCGTTTTGAAATAAATTCTGTAATACTTTGAAATTGCTCGAATTCGAGCAACATGTACACGAGTTTGAATATTAAATTAACTAACATATTTATGTAATAGGAGGGTCAAATATTGTGAACAGTGGTGAGGTAACTACCGTTACATTTATTCAATTGAGAGATAAATACAAATTGATAATACCGGTTATTTAAAGCTTTGTTGTCTATTTTTCCCTCTCTTAAAAAAATAAAATAAAGAATGAATTTAGACTTTTGGTGACATTAGTTTGTACTATTTCTCCTTAAATGACACTGCTGTCTTGGTAAGCAATAGTTATCTCGGTAATCTATTTATTTGCTGAAGAGCACAGTGTGCTACTTAGCCTGAGAAACATCTTTTGTTTTATGATTTTGTTGTAGGCCTATTGAAAACCTTGTCTAGAAGGAATTCCCATTGCCTGTGTTACCGGGGAGAAGTTTTTCTTAGTAAAGTCTGTAGACGTCTTCGGTTTTACACAGAAACATGTAATTATAATTGAAGAAGTACATGTTTTATCCTCTCACGTTGTTGCATGGACAATACTATGGTGATTCAATTCTGTGTACTTCAATTGTCTAACTGGCCCTAACTGACGCATCCTTGTTTTTTTTTACTAAATAATGTAGTCTTTACTTCCGTGGATCTTTGCGTTTTATTGTGTAACTGTCCTCAAGTAAGTCTGTGTTCTGAGTAAGTACTTAAAATGCACGGCACTACTGTATATTCAGATTTTCTAATGAACTATCATAGATAAAAGGAGTATAGACATATATGTATGACAGAGTATGTCTACTCCTTTTATCTATGGTACTATTTCCAAGTTCATCTGGACGACCCTGCAAATCGTTTCTAGTAAAAAAAAAATGTATTTGGTTTATGTTTATGAACTTGTATGAGTGTTGTTAACTAAAGCTAAATTCACATCAAATTAATTAATTTAATTTATTTTAATAGTATTTCTAATTAATTTCAGTTTTAAGAACATATAGTAAATAAATCCTTGTTGA